GTTTTCCAAAAATCAGCTTTTTACGTCAAGCGCTTTAAGCAGGATCGTGATTAATCAACGACCAGATTTTTCGAAACACCCTGTATACATTTTTAAAAAATCTTAAAATATGTAAAAAAAGAAAATAAAATATACGTGTTTCAGCGTTTTTTCGGAAACTTGACCGTTTTTTAAATAAAATATATTGTAATATTCCACCCCCCTTTTTACCCCCTTAGGGGATGAATTTTAAAAAATCCTTTCTTATCTCACGTAAACATCATGAAAGGAACCCCTGTACAAAATTTCAGCTTTCTAGGGTCAAGGGTTTGGTCTGGGCGTTGATGAGTCAGTATCAGTCAGGACAGTCAGATTTATATATATAGATATGGGCATTTATGATTCACAAATTGATAAATAATTAAGCATACCTATAAACATACAGGGTGTCCCAGAAATAAGTGCAAGTATTTTAACTGGTAGTATAGTTCAACCCCAGAAACACGCCTGAGTTTTTTTTCGCGAAAATTTTTTTTGAAAATTCGGAAAATTTGAAATTTTTTTTGGAATATTTTTTAGTTTTTAGTCAAAAAACATAATTTCTTGATAATGTGACAACATAGGCAATAGATTAAATTTACAGGAAAGAAAATCCAAAAAAGATCCAGTGGTTGCGAAATTTTAGCAAAAAATATTTTTTTTTGGAAATTTTCAAAGTAAAATGTGGTAAAATAATAATTATCCTAATATACCCCGTTATTTTGGACTTATTTGAAAAACGACAAAGACAAAAATATGTTTCTTTTATCGAAATATCTACCACCTCTTAAAATACTTGAACTTATTTCTGTGACACGCTATTGACCCTATATAATAATAATTAACAATTAACTGTGATGAATACTTATTTCCAATAGGGGTGGGGGGAGGGGGGGGGCTTAGTAGCGTAGGTAGCTATTTAATGGATATTTGATTTGTTAAGGAAATAAACATAGGACAACATATATGAACACGAAAATTATGTAAATGTATGAAATAGTATAAATTACAAAAACATTTTGGATAAAATGTTAAAAACTAAACAAACTAATACACTGACTGGTGTTTCGTTCTTTTAATGCATACTTCAAATATGACTTTATTTGTTAAATAATATAGTATAAGTAATAAAAAATGAAAAATACTATTATATTGACTGAAAATTTAAAAGAAAATCATATGATAAATAATAAAAAATAATAAATAACTGAATCGTTAAGGAAAAAAAATAACGGCACGCGGGGTTCCCAAGCGGTCACCCATCCAAGTACTAACCGCGCCCGACGTTGCTTAACTTCAGTGATCGAACGGGAACTGGTGCGCCAACGTGGTATGGCCGTTACATGCTATAGTCTGTGAAACGAATAACTTTGAATTTGACAGTTCCCGCGGGCTTTTCTAGTGTTAATTTTATTAGGTTAGCAACTTGCGGCCATGCTGACGCAATGCCGTCTCTAATAGAACAGCCTCGAAGCGAGATTTATGACGTCACGCTGGTTAAATACTACGGATTAATAAATATGTTGTAGATTACATGGAAAACATAATAATTCCTCGTATTTTTGGTTTGTATTTTAAAAATGATATAGTTTACATGAAATATACATAATATACAGTTAATAAATACAATATATATACCTATTTATAGTAATAATAACTTTCGCAAATAAACTATGAACCATACAAATGCAGCAAATGTTTTACAATATACAAATAATGAATAGGTACATAAGATAATGGGTAAAATGTAAAATATATTTTAAATTTTGGGGTTTGAAAATTGATCTAATTTAACAAACAACATTCAATATCTACTACTTACTATGGCTGAAATCGTATTCCATAGTCAATGTAGATAGTTTTAGTTTTAAGAATAATAATTTAAAAAAATACGTGGTCATCTTTTGACAAGTTTATATTAGTTAATTAATTGCAGTAAACCTTATGTGGTGTGAATATTTTATATGTAATTTTTTGGATTATATTCGACACTATTTTTTTCATATGACACAACACTGATGAAGGCTATGATGTTAGCCGAAACGTTTTTTTAACCAAAAAAAATAATGAAAAACAAATGAAAACTTAATCAGCGTTTTTCCCGAACCTAAATCCCAAGAAAATACAAAATTTTAGAATAATTTTACATACAAAATGACAGCGATCTTTATTTTATAGCCATCGCTGCAGCCTTTTTTTCTATGATATTGTATTATTTGCAAATATAATTTTTCGAACATTGATACTTGCAAAATATACATATACATTTTGTGAATGCAAATAATAATACATCACTATTAGTAGATATTGAATGTTTTTTGTTAAATTAAATCGATTTTCAAACCCCAAAATTTAAAATATATTTTACATTTTACCCATTATCTTATGTACCTATTCATTATTTGTATATTGTAAAACATTTGCTGCATTTGTATGGTTCATAATTTATTTGCAAAAGTTATTTATTACTATAAATAGGTATTTATTAACTGTATATTATGTATATTTCATGTAAACTATATCATTTTTAAAATACAAACCAAAAATACGAGGAATTATTATGTTTTCCATGTATTCTACAACATATTTATTAATCCGTAGTATCTAACTAGTGTGACGTCATAAATCTCGCTCGGAGGCTGTTCTATTAGAGACGGCATTGGTCTGATATTTAGAAATGTCAAAAGCTGATGACATTTTACTTTTGACAATTGTGTTGATTTTTGTCAAAGATTTTTTTAAGGAGAGGAAGAACTGTCACTTGTTTTATTATTTTTCTTTTCTATTTCACGAAAGTAAAAAGAGTTACCTATCTGATTCGTTCAGGCACTCAATTTAAAGAATATCAGTAACTTTTTTGACAGAGGAATTTTATATTTACCATGTTGGTAAAAAATAACGGTCAAAATTCAAAGTTATTCATTTTATAGACTATATAATATGTAACTAATGGTTTTATTAACGATGGAAATTAATGTTTTTCATACAAAATTGCTTGCTGTTAATCTTATTTAATCAAATAATAGTTATCATTAATAAGTCCTGTAAAAAATCCCAAAATAAATGCCCTTGTTTGTTCATCTATGATGCCTGCTGATAGTGCTGATGCTTGTAACATCTGCAAGCTTTTAAGTTCCTCCCAACAAGCAAAATTTATTGCTGGAACATTGCCAAAACTTCGCAAAGCAAGGTGTAACATTGCGTTTTTCATTGTAGGGAGGTTTATGCAAGGTTTCAGAGTAGGTGCAGGTTCATTGCAGTGCAAGGTTGCATTTCACAATATTATTGAAACATTGCTAATATAACGTTCAAGAAAGTACTAGTTTGGGACGTACCTATTAGCAATATTAGGGAGTTTTCGTTGCTTTAAAAAAATTCAACGGTACGGTTAACGGATACGTAACCATAACCGCTATTTTGACAGATAAAAAAACAGTTTTCGGACTTTCGGTTCATCGGTTCGGAGCCGACATACGATACGATAACCGAAAACTGACAGCTGAGCACAGCCCGTAGCGTAGTGTTTTGATTTTTGGTATGGAGTGTAGAGGTAAGGAGAAACAACTCCGTGCATTAAAAAATGGTCAAAAAAAGGGAAGAATTAGGATGGCGCTGCTGTAGCAAAAACCTAAAATTTAAGACATGCGCCGAACATTTTTAGAACAGCTGATTCAAACTGTGATTCAAAAGACATAAATATTTGACGTGAATCATATACGTGAAGCCGCGGGTTTCAAAAAAATACAAATTTATTTTTATGTCACATGAAATAAATAACAGATTTTTATTCAGCAGCAATAGACTAGGCTCTTTTTTTATTGCTCTCATAAGTTATTTCGCAAATGTCATACAAGACGACGAAAACATTATTCTGATCGTTTTAGCTTAAAATTAATGTTAATTATAATTAAGAAAAAAATTATTTAAGGTAATAATTGGTGATGGGTTTAAAATAAATATAATGCAGCTTTAAAATAACTTCATACCTACATTTATTTAGTATAAAAGTAAGTCAACATGTGGTTTTATTATCAATTATTCAGAAGCAATAGACTGAGCCTCTTTTTTATTTTTTCTCAAAAGTTATTTCGTAAATCTCATTCAAGATGAAAAAAAGCTTTAGTTTAAAATTAATGTTAATTATAATTAGGAAAACTTTATTTAAAGTTTAATTGATGATATGGAATTTAAATAAATATAATGCAGGTCAAAAATAACGTAACACATTTTATTTAGTATAAAAATTAAGCCAATATAATGTAATTTTATACTGTACAAGTATTTATTTACGTTTTGCCATCGTAGTTGCCATTCATTCAGAATAGTGGATTTTAAATGTTCGATAGTCGGATGGCTTAACTACCTTAATATCAACTACTTCTAGACAAGAATCGTGTGCAGTATTATTTTCTTTTTCACTCCCAGCTATTCCAACATGGATTGCATGGCTTGGGACGTGGAATAATATAATTTTATAGCCCTTCCAGATCCTCATGTCTTCCTTGTAGTTCACCCAATAGAATCGTCCTCGCAGCTTCCTCCCAAGTTGGTAGTTGCTATTCATTCAGAATAGTGGATTTTAAATATATTTGGTAGTCGGATGGTTTAACTATCGTAACAATAACTACTTTTAATAATTCTTTTCTCAATTCTTTGCACTATAATTTGCATCCCACGTATTGTAATATTTTCCTTTGAATTTCGTTTCCTATTGTCCCACGGCTTGAGACGTAATGTTATAGCCCTTCCAGATCCTCATGTATATGTCCCTTTTCCTTGTAGTCCACCCAATAGAACCTTTCTCTTAGCTTCCTCTCAAGTTGGTAGTTTCCATTCATTAAGAATAGTGGATTTTAAACATGTTTTGTACTCGGATGGTTTAACTACTGTAACATCGTAAATAAATTGTATACCAACACATAATGGCCAAACTTCAACAGACTTTAATATTCATAAACCTCATCAGAAGAAAATATTTTTTGATCCAAAGTTTTTTTTTCGTTATTAGAATAAATTACCTGGAATTTGTTAATTCATTACAACATTGAATAAAAGATGCAAAGTGTTTATACATACTATAATAGATAAATCTTCATTTAAAATTATGTGATAGATCTGCTTGCTTGTAGGATCTAGACTGATAAACTCAATTTCTATTATTGATATAACCAATAAAGTAGTAATGCTGAAATTTTGTTTTTCATTTGTGCAATAAGGTCCATTATTTCCATTATTTGATGCTGTTATTGCTCTACAAAATGTTGATCTCTATCAAGGGATGTTTATGTGTATAATATTACTATTTATGTGTATAATAATACTGTATGATCGAAAAAACACGGCGTGCAGTTGGCTTGGAAATGAACATCTCGATGACATTCTCCATATCATTTTACATATAAGATGACAGCAATCTTCATTTCATAGGCATCGCTGACGCTGTTTTTTATTCAATCAAATTGTACTTACGTATATAATATTCATTTAATGGTTCCTGTTTTAGTTGCTGGTGTTCATATTTTGGTTTTTTATTCTGTTGTTGCTCTACAAAATGTTAATATTTATGTGTATAACATTACTCTTTCTTTGTATAATAATAATAATATGTGTATAATATTCATTTAATGGTGCCCTCCTTGCTTGTTGCTGTTGTTGCAACTCAGAATTTAAATTAACCTGAGGCAGTAGGTAGAGCTTCATCCTCCAACATTTTCCTATGTAAATACTGCAAGTGGACAGTATTTCTGATGACAATTTTATCATAAACTTTAACATCTTGTTCTTTAAAACGAAACTGCCATGCCTTATCTGTAGATTTCAAAGCAATATCTAAATGCTTTTGACCATCGCTGTAATCTAATTCTTGTTTGAAAATCAATACGTAATATTATCCTGATGATTTTGATTTTTGATAGATTATTAAAATACAGCACTTACAGTTAACTATATTTCTTGAAAGTACCTAGAACCCTCTGCCTAGAACCATCCTAGAACTTTATTTATTTCCTACTTTTATTTGTTTAAAAAAATGCCAACAATTTGTGCATGTCTGTCAAACTTTAAAATCATTAAAAATAAATTTTATTCAGGTTGTAACTTTATAGAAAGGATTGTAAAAATATACTTTGTAACATGTATGTCAATAATCTTACGAAAAAATGTTTACTACACTTTTGATTGACTCTAATTTTTACATATAATACAAATAATACAATACTGAATTATAATTATGTATTTTACAGGCTTTGCCTTTGTTCTTTATTTTCCATCAGCTATTCAATCAACTTCGCACCACACACACTTTAACCATTATTAAATAATAAATAAAGCACAAAATATTGATAAACAATAATTATTTTATATTCTAAAAAATAAAAACAAAACTTTTTTGGGTAATGTTTGGTTATATTTATTTTTTATTCTCTTATCTATGGTTACTTTTCATTTTTTAGATTTATGCGTTTTTAGCGCCACTGTGGTCATTTGGCGAACCCTTATTCTTCCCATTTTGTGACCACTTTTTCAATAAAAGTCCCATAAGAGTTATTTCTCCTTACCTCTACACTCCATAATTTTTGGTTTTTGTATTGTTGTTTGATTTGAAAGTGCTTTATATGCCTTTATTGGGTATCGCTATATAGGATGGACAATTTAATTTTATTGAACTCTAGTGATGAATCGGATTTGGAGGATGCTATGCTGTTGGAAGGGTTTGAAAACAACATCGAATATCGAGCAGAACTTTATGGGGAGTTCAACCTAGAAATATTATCTGACCAAGAGTGCAAAGCTAACTTCCGCTTTGAAAAAAAAAGACATTCCTCGATTAGTTGAAGCACTAAGAATTCCCAACGAGTTTAACACAGATAAAATAAATAATCAAAACATAAACAAAATAGAATGAGGTTAGGTTAGATCTGTATTTTTCAATGTTGTGTTTCTACTGCGCTAGTGCGCATGCGTACCGCTATGTTAACGGCTTTGGCTAACGTCCGTAAAATATCGGCAACTAGCGGTTACGATATACGATAATCGAAATTGAAATGTCAAAGTTGTCAATTAGCGTTAACCGGAATTGCAATTTGTAAGCAACGAAAACTCCCTATTGTTAATTTTACGTCAATACAATATTGGTAAAATTATATTATTAATTATAATTAACTGACTTATTGCTAAAATAATATAGCAAAAAATAGATAATGTTTGCAAATAAATAAATCATTTCATTCATCACAGGGAAAATATAAAAATTATTTTTTAATATTTACCTACTTATCAATTAATGAAACAGTTTTTTCTTGCGAACATTAGCAATTTTATGTTAACATCCATATAACACAAAATATCCGCAGGATATTCATAGAATGTCAGAATGTCCCATTATAAGATCATCTTATAAAGATATCTATAGGATATCCTCCAGACATCCTGAAATCCTGTAGATGTCTCAGAATAGAATATCCTATGGATATCTCTGTCGTATATATCTAATGTACATCCAGCTGAGATATCCAAACATGCTCATGATAATAAAATATCCTAACAATATCGTCTAGATAGGTATTTAGGAAAAATAAATAATGTACTACTTTTTATATTACATAAAATGCAATAAACCATACAGATAGATATATATTACGTCAAGGCAACAAAATATCCTGTTGGTATCTTCTGGATAATCTGGATATTTATGAGCTTGGCCACTCCCTTAGATTAAGAATGCCACTCCCAGTAATACAGAGAATTTAAAACGCCCGCGCAAAAAATTTCCCACAATCCATCTCGACAGTTGTTTGTAATTATATTTGTAATCCATCTCGACAGTTGTTTGTTTTTGCATCGTGTATTCAGTTCTTTGATTTAGTGAAATTCGAGGTGAATTCGGTGATTTGTCGATATTGAATGGGCTTAAAAATGACTGAAACTAACAAAACTGGTTGAGTTTGACTTAGTTTTTCTTATACTCATAGTTCTAGCCTTGTTCTAGCAGAAATTCTATCCTAACCTAAACCTAAAAATGCCAAAATTTGATTAAATAAGACTAACATCAAGCCTTAATATTGTATGAAAAACATTAATTTCCACCGTTAATAAAAAATATAGTTACCTTATATAGCATGTAACGGCCATACCACGTTGGCGCACCAGTTCCCGCTCGATCACTGAAGTTAAGCAACGTCGGGTGCGGTTAGTACTTGGATGGGTGACCGCTTGGGAATCCCGCGTGCCGTTACTTTTTTTCTTTAATGTTTCAGTTATTTATTATTTATCATAGAATTTTTTAATTTTTTTAGTACTTTTTTGTTCCCAGATTTTTTTTTCTTAATTTTCAGTCAATAATAATCATAGACTTAAAATAAAATATAGACTACACTATTTACATCTCAACGCGGTCAAACAATCTTTTTTGTATACATGTTTACTTCTGGGCACAGTCGACCGAGCCTTCCTCATCCAGCCTATGTTGTCACGTCTTTAATATTATCAATATTTTTTTTCTTGTTATACACATATAGTGAGATATTAATACTACATTTTAATAAAGTAGGTTTTAATATTCCATAGATGTATTAAATAGTCCTTATACTACTAAATTATAAGTCGGATACGGTTTAAAAAGGATAAGTTCTTTACAATATAACAACACCGATTAGAGGGAGCCTATTCATTCATTTATTACCTTGTAGTACGCGTCGCACGTGTGCGGTAAAGCTTTGTTGCCGCTATGTCCCCGGCTGTATTAACGCATTTTCTTAGCTTGTAGTCCGTAAGTGTTTATTTTATTGACTTTTTCTGTTCAAGAACTATAAAATATGGTTCGCCAGTGCCAAATTTGCAAGAAATTTGACTTAAATAATCTATTTAAATCTTTCGACCGGTAGGCAACTCTCAATTTACCCAATAGAAGTCAGTGGCGTTGTTGTAGAAAGGCGCTTATTTAGATAATATTTTAGTAAAATGTAAAATCTGAATTTTTTCTCTTACATTACATTATTTACTTACTTACATTGTATTATAATTATAACCCTGTTAATAATTAACAATGTTTTTATTAAAAATATATTCCGGTTTATTCTAAAATTATCTTCAGAATCTAAAATAACATAGAAGAATTTTAAAATGATATTACATTATGAAACAATATTTTTTAATATACCGGGTAGTCTCAAAAGTGGCTCACCCCCTATAACTTTTTTATTTTTTCAGATAAAAAAAACAGATTTGTATGTTAGTAGGTATATGACATAAATTAGGATTTATTGCCGTATTCAATTGTTTTTGGTCTCTTCCTGTTTCACCGAAATGATTACATCTTTTGATTTTTAAAGGCACCCTCGGTATATTGCTACTTTATTCGATAAAAAATGACACTCTGAATAGAATGACATATCATATGTCAACTTTTGACATTGTCGCTTAAAAACAAATCGTATTTTAAATTTCAATCCAGGGTGCCATGGTGTTGTTAAAAACACTAAGTTTTAATCAAGGAGCCTTGGAAAAATAGTTTTGATCGTCTAATAGGTTTCGTGTCTTGCCTAGGCCGGTTAAAAGATGTACAAATACTACGTATTTTTAATCATACATATGTCAATTTTTTCAAATGGAACAAGGGTGATTCATTAGCATATTTGGAAAAAGCATTTTTTTATGAATATATTGATACCACACACTTGGTTGGGTCGAGTCAAATTGTCGTTATGAACCGCGTGTTACAATTACAATTAAACCATATGCAAAAATGTTAAAAGTTGACATATGATATGTCATTCTATTCAGAGTGTCATTTTCTATCGAATAAAGTAGAAATATACCAAGGGTGCCGTTTAAAAATTAAAAGTTATAGTCATTTCCGGTGAAACAGGAAGTGACCAAAAACAATTGAATGCGTCAATCAATCCTAATTTATGTCATGTACTAACATACTAAATCTTGTTTTTTTATTTGAAAATATAAAAAAAATATGGGGGATGAGCCACTTTTGGGACGCACCCGTTATAATAAAGACACTACCGAGTTAAATAAATGTAGTTTTCATTTTATCCACTTCCTATCACCTTCCTTGATTTAATGGAACAGATTTATGTTTTCTCTAATTTACATAAGACATCACTTAACCAGAAAAAAAATTACAACAATCATATTTTTTTTCTCTCCCTGTCGCCGATTCTATTATATCTGTGGAATAGATCCTGTTTTGATTAATATTAGGAGTTGTAAATGTTTGACTAAAATTAATAATTTATTATTAATTTCAGAAATTACGTAATTTCGATTATAAAATTTCTTCTATAACGTGTATTTTATTATTTTTATCCTTTTTGGATTCTAAGACGTTTTTTCTAAACTTTTATTTAAAAAAACCTGTCCTAAATCTTAATAAAATATAAAAAAGTTTAACAACACAACAATAACAAGACATTGTCTGACCGCATGTTCCAGCTATTTATGAATGAGATGCTCAGTCTATATTTTATTATAAGTCTATGATAATAATATTTTAAATTTTTTTATTACTTATACCATAGTATTTAACAAATAATTTCATATTTTAAGTATGCATTAAAGGAACGAAATACGAGTCAGTGTCTCAGTTTGTTGACTTTTTACCATTTTATCCAAAATATTTTTGTAATTCATACAATTTCATACATTTACAATGTTTTTTTTTGTTCATATGTTGTCTCTATGTTTATTTCCTTAACAGTAATAAGTATCCGTTAAATATCTACGCTACTTTGGCATTTTGGAAATAAGTATCCATTATCCATCACATTGAATTATATGTATATAGATAGGTATGCTTATACATAAGTATGTATAATAATAATAATTAGTAAGTAGTAGTAGTTCATTATAATTAGTATAATACATAAGTATGTATAATAATATATTAAAGTATTAATTTGCGAATCATAAATGCCCATGTTATGATTTATACAGGGTGGCCCATCGAA